TCAAGGCTAAACTATTGAAGGATGAAGGGCCACATGGAAAGAGACCTTGAAGGATGAGGCCATCACAGACATTCTAGCCATCTCAGACAGGCTCTCAACTGAATGCAGCCACATCAGTGACCTCAGCTGTCACTACAGTAACAAAACTGCTCATCTCAACCCAGTTAGTCCAAAGAATCATGAGAAATAATGAACAATGTATTAGGATACTAAGTTTGGGGTCGCGTTGTTATGTGGCCATAGGTAAAACTACTACACCCTAAGTGTTGGCAGGACAGCTGCCAACAGCTCCAGGCTCGTAAGTCCCAGTGGACCTAGAGTACCTCTTTTCTGTGGGATTGACTTATTTAACTAATAGAAGTTGCTACTCATCTTGGAACCAGTCACTGTGGCCAGGAGGTGAAGACCAGGCCAGAGATGTGTGCCCATCCTTGTAACAAGTGGAGGGTTGGGTCAGTCCTACCCAACCCATGAGTTGGGATAAGGTAGGGAAGGGAGAAAAGTGAGGCTTCTGTAACCAGAAAGTGGGAGATTTGAGACTTAATAGTCAGAAACCTCCACAGGGAGTGCATTAAATTGGTGAGGAGGTGAATGAATAATCATGAGTGTGGCTTTAGTTGATGAAGAATTTAAAAAATTTTTTTATTTGGAGGAAGATTGCTTAACATTATTGTGTTGATTTCTGTTGTACAACAACATGAATCAGCCACACATGCATGCATATTAAGTCACTTCAGTTGTGTCCAACTCTTTGCGACCCTGTGGATTGTAGCCAACCAGGCTCCTCTGTCCTTGGGACTTGCCAGGCAAGAACACTGAAGTGGGTTGCCATTTCCTCCTCCAGGGGATCTTCCCAACCCAAGGATCAAACCCACATCTGTTTTGTCTCCTGCTTTGGCAAGCAGATTCTTGGACCATTAACGCCACCTGGGAAGCCCGAATTAGCCATAAGGATACATATATCCCCTCCCTCTTGAACCTCCCTCCCACCCACCTGCCCCATCCCACCCCTCTAGGTTGTCGCAGAGCACTGGGCCGAGCTCTCTGTGTTATATAGCAACTTCCCACTAGCTATCTGTTTTACATGCGGTAATATATATTTTCAATGCTACTCTCTCAATTCATCCTACCCTCTCCTTCCCCCACTGTGTCCATACACTCTATGTCTGCACCTCTATTCCTACCCTGCAAGCAGGTTCATCAGTACCATTTTTCTAGACTCCATTTATATGTGTTGTGTTTCTCTTTCTGACTTCACTCTGTATAACAGGTTCTAGGTTCATCCACCTCAGTTCAACTGATTCAAATTCATTCATTTTTATGGCTGAGTAATATTCCATTATATACATGTACCACATCTTTATCCATTCATCTGTCAATGGACATCTAGCTTGTTTCCATGTCTTGTTGTAAGGACATGGAAATAGTGCTGCAATGAACACTGGGGTACATGTGTCTTTTTGAACTATGGTTTCCTCAGGATATATGCCTGTTAGTGGGATTGATGGGTCATATGGCAATTTTATTCCTAGTTTTTTAAGGAATCTCCATACTGTTCTCCATAGTGGCTGTATCATTTTACATTCCCACCAACAATGCAAAAGGGTTCCCTTTTCTCCACATTCTCTCCAGCATTTATTGTTTGTAGATTTTTTGATGATGGCCATTCTGACTGGTATGAGGTGATACCTCACTGTGGTTTTGATTTATATTTCTCTATTAATGAGCATTATTGAGCATCTTTTCATGTGTTTATTGGCAACCTGTATGTCCTTTTTGGTGAAATATCTATTTAGGTCTTCTGCCCATTTTTTGATTGGGCTGTTTGTTTTTCTGATAATAAGCTGCATTAGCTGCTTGTATATTTTGGAGATTAATCCTTTGTCAGTTATTTCATTTGCAGTTATTTTCTCACATTCTGAGAGCTGTCTTTTCATCTTGTTACAGTTTCCTTTGCTTTGAAAATGCTTTTAAGTTTAATTAGGTCTCATTTGTTTATTTTTGCTTTTATTTCCATTACTCTAGGAGGTGGGTCAAAGAATGTTCTGCCTATGTTTTCCTCTAAAAGTTTTATATTTTTGGCCTTACATTTAGGTCTTTAATCCATTTTGAGTTTATCTTTGTGTGTGGTGTTAAGAAGTATTTTAAGTTCATTCTTTTTCATAGAAGTGTCCAGTTTTCCCAGAACCACTTTTTGAAGAGGCTATCTTTTCTCTATTGTATATTCTTGTCTCTGATAAGGTACCCATAGGTACATAGGTTTACCTCTGCACTTTCTATCTTGTTACATTGATCTATATTTCTGTTTTTGTGCCAGTACCATACTGTCTTGGTGACTATAGCTTTGTAGTATAATATAAAGTCAAGAGAATTTGTTCTTCCAGCTCCATTTTTCTTTCTCAAGATTGCTTTGGCTATTCAGGGTCTTTTGTGTTTCCGTACAAATTTTGAAATCTGTTGTTCTTATTCTGTGAAAAATGCCATTGGTCATTTGATTGGGATGGCATTGAATCTGTAGATTGCTTTGGGTAGTATAGTCATTTTCACAGTATTGATCCTTTCAATCCAAGAACATGGTATATCTCTCTATCTGCTTGTGTCATCTTTGATTTCTTTCATCAGTGGCCTATAGTTTTCTGCATACAGGTCTTTTTTCTCTTTAGGTAGGTTTATTTCTAGGCATTTTATTCTTTTTGTTGCACTGGTGAAAGGGATTGTTTCCTTAATTTCTCTTTCTGATTTTTTCCTTGTTCATGTATAGATTTGCAAGGGATTTCTCTGTATTCATTATGTAGGGGAGGAATTTTTTTTCATTTATTTTTATTAGTTGGAGGCTAATTACTTTACAATATTGTAGTGGTTTTTGCCATACATTGACATGAATCAGCCATGGATTTACATGTGTTCCCCATCCTGAACCCCCCTCCCACCTCCCTCCCCATCCCATCCCTCTGGGTCATCCCAGTGCACCAGCCCTGAGCACTTGTCTCATGCATCCAACCTGGGCTGGTGATCTGTTTCACCCTTGATAATATACATGTTTCAATGCTGTTCTCTCGAAACATCCCACCCTCGCCTTCTCCCACAGAGTCCAAAAGTCTGTTCTGTACATCTGTGTCTCTTTTTCTGTTTTGCATATAGGGTTATCATTACCATCTTTCTAAATTCCATATATATGTGTTAGTATACTGTAATGGTCTTTATCTTTCTGGCTTACTTCACTCTGTATAATGGGCTCCAGTTTCATCCATCTCATTAGAACTGATTCAAATGAATTCTTTTTAATGGCTGAGTAATATTCCATGGTGTATATGTACCACAGCTTCCTTATCCATTCGTCTGCTGATGGGCATCTAGGTTGCTTCCATGTCCTGGCTATTATAAACAGTGCTGCGATGAACATTGGGGTGCACGTGTCTCTTTCAGATCTGGTTTCCTCGGTGTGTATGCCCAGAAGTGGGATTGCTGGGTCATATGGCAGTTCTATTTCCAGTTTTTTAAGAAATCTCCACACTGTTTTCCATAGTGGCTGTACTAATTTGCATTCCCACCAACAGTGTAAGAGGGTTCCCTTTTCTCCACACCCTCTCCAGCATTTATTGCTTGTAGACTTTTGGATAGCAGCCATCCTGACTGGCGTGTAATGGTACCTCATTGGGGTTTTGATTTGCATTTCTCTGATAATGAGTGATGTTGAGCACCTTTTCATGTACAAGGGTTTCTAAGTGGTAGGCAAGCTGAAGGGTAGAACAGGAGGTAAAAGAAGGCCCAGAGTGGGAATTAAAGCTCTGGGTAAGTGACAGCTGGATGAGGATGCCAGACAGATCATGCACTGCCCACTGAGATGACCGGATGTCTTAGCTGAAAGCTGTTGTGTTTGCTGAGACTTCAAATATGTCATAGACTTTTCCTCCTGAATGGAAAATTCACTTGTATTTTAAGAAAGAAAGCATCCAGGTGTTTCTGATTTATTTACACTTAAATCATTTGTATATGTGTGTGTGTATGTGTGTGTGTGTGTGTGTGTGTGTGGTGTGAATGTGGGGAGCTATTTAATGTCCAAGAACTCCTAAAAATGTTTAGTTTTGGCACTTGCCATTTCAGACTATTTATCTGAGGAGTTAGAGGCTACATTTGACTGGGATCAAGCTTCCTTCAGCTGTCCCAGGCTTGCGGCAGGAACCTGCTTGAGGTCTCAGTGTCCAGGCTGCCCAAGAGGCCGAGCAGGGGCTCTGAGCAACAGCTTGCAGCTAGCAGGCAGCTGGCCCCAGGAAAGACCTCCGAGGGTGCCCTAAAGCAGATTGCAGCCTACTGAGGACACACAGCTGTCTCAGCTCTTCAGAGACCGGGCAACCCCGCCCCCCACCTCAGCCTAGCTGGTCACCAGAGAATGAGGACAGTTTGTACCCAGCGATGTGCCCAGCGTTAAGTTTGTTACATACCATCCAGCCAGGCCAGCCACCTCCCGGAAATAGAAACGAGCAGGATCTGTTCTTACAGAAGGTAGAGGTGCGCCCCAGGGGCCTGTTGGAGCTGGCAGACACCCAAGAACAGGAGAGGAGGGGTCGGGTACTTATCTCAGGAGAATTGGACCCATGGAGAGGGCCACGGCTGCTCCTCATAACGGGAGCCAGGAGGATGGGAGAGACCGATGCCAAGAGACACATCTCGGGGCGAGTGACATTCAGATTAGTGCTGGGGCTTCCTCCTGGCTGCTGTTGCTCATCTTGCCCACACACATACACACACACACACACACACCACTGTTCTTGCCCCCTGTTCCCTGACCCTGCTGTCTATACCCCTCTGGCTGCCCCTCTGATGACCAACACCCCCACCTTTTCCAATTTGGCTTTGACCCTCCAACTCTAGAGGCCCTTGGCATGGCTCAGCTTCTGGACCCAGTCCCTCCCTTTCTGCCTGGCCATCAGTGTCCCAAGCAGTCTCTGCATGCTGGGGAACTCAGATGAACAAGGCCAGTTTTCTGGATGACAGCAATGTGAGGATGATTGATGATTTTAATTATTTAATGCAATAAATTAAATACATTATTTAATACAATAAACAGAGTCCAGGAAGCAGCAGAACAGAATCTTTCTTGAACTCTCACAGCAGGCATTTATCCACCAGGCATCAAGGCAGCAGGGGCATGTGGCTGAGGGAGCACTGGACAGCCGCTCTGAGTCTGAGCTCACATTTTGAGGTTCAAGCCCTTTGTGGCCAGCCTGACACCCCTGTGTCTAAGTCCCCCAAGCTCAGCAATGGAAGCACCCCATCATAGACTCAGAGTTGGTCCCTCACTGTCCCCCAAACCTCCACATTTGAATCAGGACTCCTTTTATTGCAGCTGATGGGAGCATAGCTCAAACTGGCTTAAGCCTCAAAGGAACGGTTGGGAGCTCTAGGGGATTCTGGATTCACGAGCAATTGACATCCTTGTGGTGGGTTTGCCTATCTTTCTGCTCTGTGTTCCCATGTTGGGTCCATTCTCAGGTGGTCTCTTCTCCTGTGAGGGTGGAAACAGCCCCTGCCAGCTCGCGCATAGTACCAGCTCTTCTGCTCCAGTGATGCAAAGGACTTCCCCTGGTCTAGCCACAGCTGTGTATCCCCCAGATCTGTTACTGTAGTTGAGAGAATGTGGAGATTTGCTTGGTCAGGTCTGGATCATATGCCCACACTCGAGTCAGGGATAGGATCAGTATCACCTACACCCATGTGGGCTGAGTGCGGCAAGGGGTTGGCTTTCCAGAGGGATGCTAGTAAAAGAATGAGAGGGACACTGGGAAGGCAAAACCCACAGATGTTGACTCCAGTGTCCAAACCCATCTGAGTACCTTTCTTTCCCATCCCCCAGCCCCGAATCTGCCCTCTGCACCTTCTCTAGTTTCTCCCAAGCTCATCTCCTCTAGGAAGCCATCTCTGATTTATAGACTGAATAGGCAGTGTATGTGAAAATGATGCCTAGCAGAGTGCTGGACTCACAAACATCAACCAAATATGAGTCAGTGAATGAATGCATGAATGGTCAGTTAGTTCCTGAGCCACACAACTTGTAGGACTCTAGACAAGGAAATCCTATGAGAAAAGAAAACCCTATTTCATGGTATGGAGGAAGCCTCAGCATAGACAGCTGGACCAGAGCCAGCCCATGGCTATATGCCCTAGGCTAGGAAGTCTAGAAGGTGGGAAGTTCTGCAAAAGGATCAGCAAGCATGGTCAGCAATCCGCTGATGGTCAGGTAGCCCCATCTTGTGGAGAGGAGAAGTCTGGTAGGGTCTGTGAGCTGATCAGGTCAAGGCCAACCACCATGTTGATGTTTGCCTGTGCTGGGCAGCACCGCATCTGTCCCCACTTCTTATGGTGAGAGAATCCTGGTTTTCCTGGGGCAAACGCCCTTCTCTAGTCCCAGGCTATGGCTTGAGGGTAGGCTGACCCCACTATCTGGTAATTAGCACATGACCCACTCACCCCCAAAGAGGCAGATTTCAGACTTTTTCTGCACACTTTGGCATAGAGAGTGTCTTTTCCTGCTGAGGTTGCATAGGTGGTAGAATGCAGTCCTGGAGCCACAGGGGGCCTCAGTATGGATAGCACACACACATGCCTGTCATCAATAAAGCCAACATAAAGGAACTAGAGCTGAGAGATGGGGAAGAAAAGTCCTGTTGAAGTCACTGGGGCACCTGGATCCTGCTGTACCTGAATCTTTGTCGATTTTTTCAGTTAAAAAGAAGCAGTGTGTTCTTTGTTTTAAAGTTACTTTGATCCTGTTCTGACCTTTAACAATAAAAGTCCTGGCTGCTATGCTACCCTACTGAAAGAAATTGTTCTGCAGAGATCCCAGCCGTGTGACACAGAATCAGTTTCCACATTGATGCTCACTTCTATGAGTAGTTGTGTCTTGAGGTCCTTGTTGGAGGTCATGCAAAGAAATGGTCATAGAGGGGAAAGTAGGAGAGGTTCTCAGGAAATCAATAATACAGTGAATGAATGCTGTGTTCAGAGCCCATGTACCAGAAATTGTCTCATTCTCAGTAACAGCACAGTGTCCTGTTGTGGCTCGGTCCCAGCGGCATCGGAATCTAGAACGTGTGTTGACCACATTGAGAAAAGTTTCCTTCCCATTATTCATCATTCAGGGTCTCATTTTGTTTTTTTCTGGGTATGCTCGTGCATATTTCACATGAGCTGTTGGTTCAGTAATGGAAATAATTACATGCACTGATAAAGCATGGCAGCAAATGAAAGAGAATGATATAAAAGCACCGCCCTTGTGCTTCCATGGACCCAGAAGATGAGAATTTCCACCCGTGGTTAAACAGGAACAGAGCTTTGGAGCTGCTCTTCTCAGGCTATTTCCAGGGACACATCTTCAGCTCTGGGTCACATAGATTGCTGGGAACTTGTCCACACCATGCATTTTTTTTCAAATTCATGTCTGGACCTAGATAGGAAGCTGTCCTAAGGATGTTCAATATAGGGCAGGGGTTCACAGCTCATTAAGGAAACTGTGCCAGGATTGTAATGTACTGGTGTCCAAGGGTTCAAGATGAACCTTCTTATTCTCAGAAGAGAGTAGGGGTGGGGGTGGAGGCTGCAAAATAAGAGGAAGGATGCCGTTTAGCATAAGTAACCAGTGGTCCCTGTGAACCGACTCTGGTCACCGGACAGTGAGCATGTCTCAGTGTTTAGTGCCTGCCTTGATGATGCCTTGTGGTGTCAGCGATGTCATCAAAAGCCCCATCCTGCTCTCCAGCACTGCCCGCTTGTCCTCAAATATTAACTCATCACCTCCCTTTGGATACATTCTTTCTCCAAAGACTCCTGGACACAGCTCATGGCCTGAGATGGCTTGGAGTCATCCATCCCTGCTTGATGACTGAGGTTAGGGTTTGTTCAGCCTTCAAACCATCTCTCAGACACCTGGTGAGGGTGGCGAGGGCCGTCTTGATCCTGGTGTAGACTGCTGAGACCAACTGTTGTCCCTGTTACAGTATGTCCAACTGGAATTCATGTGGGCTAGATAAATACATCTTAATTTATGATGAGGAAAAACCTATTCCATGTTTTATTGTCTTCCAAAGGCAGTAACTTGCCTGGTTACTTTTTCTCTTTCTCTTCTCTCTTGATCCCAAATTACAGAAAGAAAATATCCAGGTCATGTTTCCAAATTTCATTTCATAGCTGAAAACACATTTTAGGTCTCAAAAGGCAAAAGACACCTTCATCTAGTTAACTCTTAGACTTTTTAATGTTTATACAACAGGAAGCCATGTAACTCTTTTCTTTTTTATAAGCAAAGTAGGAGAATTGTTACTTGCCAAGATTTCCTGTTCTTTCTAAAAAAAATTCTTTTACTTGAGTAAAACACATTTTTCACTTTAACAATTTTAAGGTCTACAGTTCAGCAGCATTAATTATAATGGTGTGAAACCATCACCACCTTTTGTTCCCAAAACTTTCTCATTACTCCAAACAGAATCTTTGTAACTGTTTAGCAATAACTCTCCATTTCCCTCCACCCCAGGTCCTGGTATAACTACTTTCTTTCTCTGTGAATTTGCCCAGTCTCTGTATTTCACATAAATGGCCTTTTGCATCTGGCTTTTTTCACTTAGTGTTTCCAAGGTTCAGCCATGTTTGAGAATGAGTCAGTACTTCATTCCTTTTTATGACAGAGTAATATTCCATTGTATGTATATACCACATTTTGTATATGCATTCATCAATCAATGGACATTTGAACCTCATCATTCTTAAGTTTTGGTCTTAAAACAGTTATGAGGAGTAAATTTAATATCAATGTTTTATTACTATAAAGTCTTCATTCATAATACCACTTGGACTATTGTATAGAATTAAATGGAACTAACATTTGTTGATTGTCTTCTATAAACCAGTCTCTGTGCAGGGCCGTGCACATAGTGTCATCTCATTTAATCTTCACAAACAAGGTATGAAGCAGATGTTATCACCCCATTTTGAAGATGAAAACACTGAAGCCCAGAGATGATAAGCGACTTCTTAAGGTCATGTAGCTAGTGGGTGGCTGAGCTGAACTTTGAGCTGGTTCCCCTCACTTCCTGCTGTTAAAGCAATGCTCTCAATATGCCTGCAAATTTGGAAAACTCAGCAGTGGCCACAGGACTGGAAAATATCAGTTTTCATTCCAATTCCAAAGAAGGGTAATGCCAAAGAATGTTCAAACTACTGTACAATTGTACTAATCTCACAGACTAGCAAAGTAATGCTGAAAATTCTTCAAGGTAGGCTTCAACAGTATGTGAACTGAGAACTTCCAGATGTTCAAGTTGGATTTAGAAAAGGCAAAGGAACCAGAGATTAAATTTCCAACATCTGCTGGATCATAGAAAAAGCAAGAGAATTCCAGAAAAACATCTACATCTGCTTCATTGAATATGCTAAAGCCTTTGACTATGTGGATCACAACAAACTGTGGAGCATTCTTAAAGATATGGGAATACCAGACCATCTTACTTGCCTCCTGAGAAATCTGTAGGCAGGTCAAGAAGCAATAGTTAGAACCGGACATGGAACAATAGACTGGTTCCAAACCGGGAAAGGAGTACGTCAAGGCTGTATATTGTCACCTTGCTTATTTAACTTCTGTGCAGAGTACATCATGCAAAATGCTGGACTAAATGAAGCACAAGCCGGAATCAAGATTGCCGGGAGAAATATCAGTAACCTCAGATATGGAGATGACACCACCCTTATGGCAGGAAGTTAAGAGGAATTAAAGAGCCTGTTGATGAAAGTGAAAGAGGAGAGGGAAGAAGTTGGCTTAAAACTCAACATTCAAAAAACTAAGATCATGGCATCCAGTCCCATCACTTCATGGCAAATAGATGGGGAAAAAGTAGAAACAGCGACAGACTTTATTTTCTTGGGCTCCAAAATCACTACAGATGGTGACTGCAGCCATGAAATTAAAATACACTTGTTCCTTGGATGAAATGCTATGACAAACCTAGACAGCATATTAAAAAACAGAGACATTACTTTGCTGACAAAGGTCTGTCTAGTCAAGGCTATGGTTTTTCCAGTAGTCATGTATGGATATGAGAGCTGGACCATAAAGAAAGCTGAGCACGAAAGAATTGGTGCTTTTGAATTGTGGTGTTGGAGAACTCTTGAGAGTTCCTAGGACAACAAGGAGATCCAACCAGTTCATCCTAAAGGAAATCAGTCCTGAATATTCATTGGAAGGACAGATGCTGAAGCTGAAACTCCAATACTTTGGCCACCTGATGCGAAAAGCCTACTTATTGGAAAAGACCCTGATGCTGGGATAGATTGAAGGCAGGAGGAGAAGGGGACGATAGAGGATGAGATGGTTGGATGGCATCACTGACTCAATGGACATGACTTTGAGCAAGCTCTGGGAGTTGGTGATGGACAGGGAAGCCTGGCATGCTGTAGTCCATGAAGTCACAAAGAGTCAGACATGACTGAGCGACTGAACTGAACTGAATTCTTCTCACTCCTAAATCCACATATTCCCATCCTGTCTGTCCTTTTTTATTAACCATGGATACAAATTGGTTCATGCCATTTTTTCACACTTAGAGATGTGACAAAGGTGCCTTCTCCCCAAATGCATCAACAGAACCTCAAGCCCTGGTCTAAAATGACCCAGATTTTTCCTTTGGCCTTAGAGTTTCCCTTATCAGCTCTTAGCGATGAAGGAGAATATGTAGGAATCACATAAATACTGTTGTTAGGGAGGTGTTGGGGGAGTTTGGAGGAGACCTTTGAGTAACTAACATATCTATTTGCATTGCAATTAGGGAACCAAAGACCAGCTACCTCACTGAGCTCTCTGATCTGGTAGCAAAATCAAGGACTATCCAAGTCAACAAATCAAGGACTTGTTGGTCACACATCAATTCTCTCCCTTTCCTTTTCTCCCTCTCTTCCCATTACCTATCTATCCACCCATCCACCCATCTGTGAATCCATGCATTTATCCATCTACCCATCCAGCCACCCCTCCATCCATACATACATCTAGTCATCTATCCATTCATCTCTTCACTTATCCATCCATCTATCCACTTATCTATCCATTCATCTAGATAATATTTGTTGTAGGCCTGATAGATGCTAGCTGCTGTTCTAGGTTCTTGGATATAGCAGTGGATAGTACCAATAACCAATGAGATAAACATACTTCAGTAGAGGATGGATCCAACTAGTGTATGACAGAAACCAACACAACATTGTAAAGCAATTGTCCTCCAATTAAAAATAAATTTTAAAAAGGTCAGGAAACTTTATTTTGAAATCCCGATTCCTGACTACTCTTGGAAAAAATGCAAGACCAGGCTGCCCTAGAGCCCAATTTGCTATATTGCAAGTGCCGACCAGAGCTATGTAGCGCTGTGTCGAGCATTGACCTCTCGTTCATCACAGCCCTGGCTACTGCCTGTTGCCTTGTACCTGGATAATAGTGCGTGCCTGACCTGAGAGGGCTTTGGGTCTGTGCCCCCAACTAGGACTGGATTTGCAGCAGCCGCCGCCTTGCTTCACAGTCTGCCCTAGCCTGAGACCTGGGCTTTGTTCCAACACATTCTGCCCCTGAACTTGCCATCCCCTCATCTGAAAACTAAGGGTTGAGGGGAGTTGGTGAAGATGATAAAGGATCTGTAGACTGTAGAATGCTGTTCAAAAGAAGGGGATGCTGTTGCTGAGAGCCTGAGTCTCTGGAAGAGAGGGAGAGAAAGGAACCTGGTTAACAGGCTGGGTGTTCGACTTAACAGGCTATCTTGTTAGCTGAGGTAAACCAATGGGTGCCAACCTTCCTGTACGTTGCTTATTGCTGTCAGTGGTGGGCACGTGGCCCTGTTGCTCCTTCCAGACCCACGTATGGACAGGCCTCAGGGAGCTTCTCACCCTTCCCACTGAGTCTTTGATTATGAGACGTTGGCATTTGTCACTCCTTTCCCACTGGCAAGGGGCGCAGGTTTGCTTTTATCCACTCACTCATTCATACCGCAAATCTCTATTAAGCACTTATTCTAGACTTAAGAATAAGATGGGCAGTAGTGGAATAAGATTGACAACTGTTAAAGGGCTTACCTTTCCCCAGAAGAAATGACTGTACATCCTGCCATGCCCCGCTGCACTTCTCTAGTTGTTCTTTGGCTGGGGGATTAGGTGGATAGATGGGACAGTGGGTGTGTTGCTGAAGCTCTCAGTCAGCTGGAATCTCTGTTCCAGGTGGGTCCTGGCCCCAGGCTCAACTGCTTGCCATCACGGCCTCCTTAAGTTATAAGCATTGATGAGGGGACACCCCCACTAGAGCCCTGCCTGCAGGCTCATCTGTGCACAGTTCTGGATTGTTTGCAGATGCACAGCCAGGATGTTTCAGCTTTGTGTACAGGAAGACCCGCCCCATCAGTTACACAGCACGTCCTAATCCCTCATTCTTCTACTTAATGCTAATATTTAGCACTGGCATAAGTTTGAAGTGTAGGGACATCTGGAGGGCAAGATAGGCATGTCCCTGACCTCACGGAACATTTAGGGAGGACTGGAGGAACACTCAATCCAGGCCTGAGGTGTCAGGGCACTTTTGAAGGGAAGTGACACCTAAGTTAAGAAGCATAAGTAGGAATTGGGAAAGGAGACCATAAAAGTCTTCTCTAACCTGGAGTGTTCAAGGATATGAGTTCAGTCAATATGGTTAGAAAGTGGAGTTTGTATATATGAAGGTTGGGGGAGGTGAAGGCAAGAAGATAGGCAGGAGCAGTGATGCTTGAAAGGAATGAGACTAGAAAGAGGGTTAATTGGCATTTAGATTATTTAGTGCTTGTACCATGTTCAGGAGGTTTGAACTTATCCTAGAAGCTAGGGAGACCCATGGAAGTTGTCAGTTGGGGAAGCATTGAGATCTTTGGCATTCTAGTTGGGTGAGGATGGATTTGAGGGCCCAGACCTTGGGCAGCAGCTGGTGGGTGAGCTGGGATGTTGCTCAGGAGTATGGGGTGAGAAGAGTAGATAGTAGCTGATTCTTCTGGTGCTTAGGAGTAGAATTGCTTGGGGCTTGGGCTTCATTAGCTGTGAGAGGGGAGGGAGGGAGGAGCATGGGCAGGCTCTTGGGTTGCTGGTCTGGGTGGCTGTAAGGAACAGGAAGTTGGAACAGGTTGGGTGGAGAGAGGCTTGTCCAGGTGGAACATCACAGTGGAGGTGCCCAGGATCTGTTTCTCAGGCTCTGGATTGACAGAAAAAAATCAGGGAGGAGGTGGGATCTCTCAAGAGGGCTCTACAGAGAGAGAAGAGGAGAGGGCTTGTCACGCAGCCTGAGGAGTCCACCCAGATGAAGGAAAAGATATAGGAAGAGAGGAGGCAGCAGACAGAAGCAGGGTGGCACCACGCTCCAAAGTGCGACCACTGGGTTCAGCAACAAAGAGATCATTTTAGAACTTGGTGGGTTATTTTGGGGGGCAGTGGACTGAGGAATGGGTGGGAGGTACAGAGGAGAGGAGGAGGTGAGACCAAATGGGCAGCACCTGGGAGGGGCATGGAGCACTGGGAGGTGCTCCCGAGGGAAGGGGTGTTAGCGTGGTGGCCAGAGAGCATGGGAGACCAGAGGGTTGAAGCGAGTACAGTATTGAGGACCCTGAAGAGGTAGGAGGAGGTGGGGATCAAGACCAGGAGGAAGGACAGGTGGGGGTTGGGAGACTGAGAATGTTGCCCCTGTGGCTTCTGTTTCCTTGATGAAGGGGGAGGTGTGCTGAATGCCTCAGAATGAGAAAGAGTCACAAAGTTGAGTAGACTGGACCTGAATGTATGAGGAGAGTGGATTCTAGGCGTTCAAGGGCTGTGGATGATTTGTGGGTCTGGTGTGCCTTCCCTCACCACCACCTCCTACTCTGGCTGCTTAGGGCTCCCCACCCCTGAAAAGAAAAGCACTGATTCTGAACCAGAGCTTCTCCTGGGCTGACCCTGACTAGCAGGGTCACAGCAGGTATTGACTTGAGCGTGGTCCCATCCCCACCCAGGTAGGCAAGCTGCAGAAGGAGCCTGTGTGGGCCTGAAGACTAGAAACTGGGGGCTGCTGCCAGGCACATAGAGAAGCGAAAGAGGCCGTGAGCAATGTGGCTTCCAGAGGAAAGTCCCCTGCAGCAGATGTGCCAGGAGGGCTGTCTGGGAGCTGAGCCTGGCCAGTCCTCCTCCACATCTGCAGCTCAGCTGCTCCAAGAAGCTTGAGCAGCAGATGGCTCTTGGGTATCCATTGGAATAGGCAGCAACTTTCTTCTGCATGGAGAAGTTTTGCTCAAAGAGAATGATTTTATTTTCATTGGACTCTGGGGGGAAATAACTCTAAAAATTAGAACCTTGGCAGAAAACACAAATGGAAATTGGTCCTTTTACTCAGCTTTGTCCCTAATTATTAAGCCATGCTCTGAAAATCCTAAGCAATAATTGAATTTATAGCCAGTGTTATGCATTTGTGGGTGAGAGTAACCTGTGCCCTGTGAGGAACTGGGATTCTGAAGCTGGGAAAATGTGACCAGTCCTTAGAGTGTGATGTTTTTCCTCCCGTACATGTCAGTGACAAATGTGGATTTTCTGTGTTGGCCCACACCTTGAATTCCCAAAGTGTCCCCTTTGTATGTTGCTGGGAGTAGCAGGCTGCTGTGTCAGCCTCCCCATTGGGCTGAGTCCCAGGTTGATTCATGTCGTGGCTTCAGGCCTTATGGGCCCAGGATGTGGCACTGAGTGTGGTGGTGGATTTGGGATCAGTGGATCATTGGATGAACTAATGAACATATTAGAAAAAAAATCTCTGGGCCCCTCAAAGAGAACCATAGACTACAGGGTTTGTTTCATGCCAGCTTCCAACCCCTCAGTCTAAGCCATGTGCTGTCACCAAAATAGTCTTCCCAATGAAACCCTGCCTTCAGAGCTTCTTCCTTTCCTCAGAACCTTCAGTGCCTCCTTGTTTCTTCAGCATCAAGTCAATGGGTCTCAGCCTGGCACACCTTTGGAGCCTCTGGGCCAGCCAGGATAGGTTCCACCCTGCCCTCCAAACACACCTGCTTCCTCTTCCTCTGCGCCTTTGTCCCTAGGTCCTTGTACCCAGACCACCCTTACAGACAGCATGGAATTAAAGGCATAGGCTGTGCGTGAAGAATATCTGCATTCAGAATGTAAAATGGTGCAGCTGCTCTGGAAAACAGTATGGAGGTTCTTCAAAGAATGAAAAACACAACGACCATATGATCCAGTAATTCCACTTCTGGCAGTTCCATATACCCACAAAAGATTGAAAGCAGAGACATGAAGAGATATTTGTACCCTGGTGTTCAGAGCAGTGTTTTTCACAATAGCCTAAGGGTGAAAGCAACCCAAGTGTCCATGTATGGATGAATGGATATGCAATGGAATATTATTCAGCTTCCAAGAAAGTTCTGAACATGCCACAATGTGATGAACCTTGAGTACACTATGTTGAGTGAAATAAGCCAGTCACAGAAGGACAAATACTGTGTGATTCCTTTTATATGTTGTTCCTAGAGTAGTCATATTCTTTGAGAAAAAATGTAGAATGCTGTTTGCCAGGAACTGGGGAAGGAAAAAATAGCGGGTTATTGTTTGAGTATAGAGTTTCACTTTTACAAGATGAAAAGAATTCTGGAGACGGGTAGTGGTGATGGTTTCACAACAGTATGAATGCTACTGTACTGTATACTTTAAACTCGCTAAAATTTTTTGTTATATATATTGTTACCTCGATTTACAAGAATAACTTTTGCAAAAAAATGGAAGACGATTGAGAAAAGGTAAGTCAGAGATGTGCACTATGAAAAGGACTCCACCACTGGTGCTAACTTTGAAAATGGAGGAAGGAGGCCCTGAGTCAAGGAATGCAGCAGCCTCTGGAAGCTGGGATCCACCCTCGTTTCACATCCAGAGAGAAAGAAATGTAGAACCTCAGTCCTATACCCACAGGAACTCAATTTTGCCAACAACCCAAATAATCAGAAAGGAGACTCTCTTCTAGAGCCTCCAGGAGGGAACATAGCTTTCTGACATCTTGGGTTTAGTCTGATGGGACCTATACTTGACTTCTGACCTACAGAACTCTTACGGTAATTAGTTTGTGTTGTTTTAAGCCAGATAGGGGCAGGGGGAGACTATTTGGGTTGGAATCATGGCTCTATCACTTTCCAGCTGTGTGGTCTTGGTCAAGTTTCTTAAGTGCTGTGCTTCAGATTCTTTATGGGATAGGGATACCTAAGAGCACTGCGAAATTTAAATGAGTTAATAGAGGTAGTGCTTAGTGCAGTGCCTGGCATCACAGTAAACCAACACATGTTGCTGTTGTTATTGTTGCCACCACAGTCATCAACTCCCTTGGGCCCTGTCAATTGCTTCCATTCTCCATGGTTAACCTATGCCCATCTTGCCCTCTGAAATGAGGGAGTTTACTATGCACTGGCATCTTGTCTTCTTTCTTTTTCTCTGTCCCTCTGGGGTGTGCAGTTCCTCTCCAGCTGGAACTCCTGAAGCACAGTGTACTCTTTTTCCATCCTCTTTACACTGGATGTGGTGCAGGGCAGTGAGCACTGAGTTCCAAGTACTAACCCAGATCTGCCTTCGACCGGCTATATGGAGGGAAACATGAATCAAGGATGGGGGGAATGGATGAGAAAATTCGTGTGATCCTGACATGAACAGAGCAGGCACAGGGCAATCGATGTTAGTCCCATCAGAGCTGGGTGCAGGTACTCAGTGAGTGCTCAGCTATCCCAGCAGAAGCCCCACAGCCTGCAGGAGCTGTGACGAAGGGCAGAAGGAGGCATCTCCTTGGGGGTTTGCAGCTGCAGCGGACCTGAGAGTAACCCCTTTGCTCCTCTCCAGTCAAGGCTTCTCATCCTCTCTGAGCTGAAACACAGTGTGAGGGATTGCCGCCTCCCCCACTCCCCCGCCCCCAACAGTTCATTTTAGAGCCTGGGCCAGGCTGCTACATCTTTGGTACATACTGGCATGTTCCAGCGGTCTTTCTGTTGATCCCTTTCCCCTGCCAATCTTTGTGCATAGGTCTCTCCCTCAAGGGATAGGAGACGTGTTAATTCGCCATTTATACCCAGGAAGTACTGGGTTAAGAAAAGTCCATAAATAATATTCTCTTTCTCCAACTGGATATCCTATACATGGTACATGCATATCTTTATCTAGATATATAGTCTCTCCTCACAAAGCAGAATCATACAGTAAATATTATTGCTTAAATATTAATAGCTCAGTATTCCATTGACCATTTCTTTATGTGATTAAGTATACTTCTACAGCTTTATTATTGCTGAGTAAGATTCCATTGCATGCCTGTGTGAAAA